TTTAACCTACTCTGGGGTAATTGGGAAGACTTTCTTGAGGGACCAACAGTGAGTTAAGTTGTGAGAGATGACTGAGTTAACTGGGCAAATTTGGAAGTACCTCTGCAGAGAGAAGGCCATGTGCACAGGTTTACATGGGGAAACAGAATGCCTATGTGGCTGGCTGACAGCACAGCAAAGCAAGTAAGGTGTGAGGCAAAGCTGAGAGGCAGGTAAATATGAGGGTCCTTTAAAAGGTTGTGGAAAAATTCCATTACCTTATACTTCCATTTTTTCATGAATTGTTTGTAGTCCCTTGAGTGTAGGGCCTTGCTGGTCTTGTAGACATTTGTATTTCTCAAAAGGCGCTTTGCTTCTTAGTAAAGAGCATTTTGAATGGGACAAAAATAGATATGGAGGAACTAGTAAAAAAATAACATGGCACACAACTCTGATAGTTTGGACCCTAAACCCACTGCCATTGAGTCAGTTTTGGGATTTCTGAGACTGGGAATTTTTAAGGGAGCAGAAAGCTTCATCTTTCTCTTTCCGAGTGGCTGGTGGGTTGGAACTGCCAATTTTGCATAGCACACCATCATGCAACCCACTATGCCACCATGACTTAGTTTGGACTATAGAGGTAGTTTAAGAAGAGATGGAGTAAAATAAATGTTGAAAGCTATTTGAGTGGTAAAATCTCTGTAGCTGCTAATTAGGGAGGCACCGTGACTGCACTCTTCATTGAAAATGCAACCCTGGAAAAGAGTGGATCTGAAAAGAACATGAATTCAGTTTTGATTATGTTGGATTTAAGAAACCTCTGAAACATCCAAAAAGAGACAGTGCAGTGTAGACCTCAGAGACAAGATCTAGGTTAGAAATATGCATGGTTGACTTACCTATATAACTGTAATTGAAATGAGCCTTAAAGTGAGATTATTGAGAGGGAAAGTATGCAGTGTGAGAAGAAAGCAGAATCTAGAACTGAATCATGAGTCAGTAAACCCAGAAATACTGACTAGTAGAGGTAACAGGGCCTGCAAAAGAATATTTGAGAATAAGCAAGTCAGGTATGCATGAAAATCAGGAACTAGTTTATGTTAAGGGAGTCATTGTTTGATGGGGTCAAGCAAAATAATTTCCCTAAATTTGAACACCTGTATATTTAATGTTAGAAACACTTGACAGCATTGTGATATGTGCATGCGATACTTCAGGAAACAGCCATGTACTTTTTAGATGTCATCTAGATCTACTACCTGGAATGGCACAACTATGGTTGAGTGATTTTTCCAAGGTCAAACAAGTTGTTAGTGATAACATTTGAGTTCTAATCCATGGACCATAACTGTTATTAGGTTGAACCATGTGAAATTTATGTTTTTGTGGGGAAAAATTGGTCTGACATTAATAATTACAAGAAGTCTAATCTAATAGTTACAGCATATTTTCAGATTTTTCTATGGACCACTAAGCTAGTCCAGGATTCTTCCCCTTTGTCCTCTCCTTATCCGGAGTCTTCCCCAAAGTCCATATTTCACTTATTACACATAAGCACATATCTAAAATAAGTCACTTTTGTTGTTACTCAACTTCTTTAGAAAACGAAAATATCTTCTGATTAACATATCTTCATACCATCTATCTGATGTATAATTCTTGAGAAATACTAAATTTAATATTAATGTATTAAATCAATAGGCTTAATTAGTTCATCTATTCAAATCTAGTTTGATAGGACCAGTCATTTTCATAGTTGATTTTCTTGATAATACAAAGAAAGTTCTTAGACAGAACATACAACATTCTTCTAGTTCTTTAATGGGGCACACCGCCCCCCACTATCATGACCCCAGTTCTGCCTTACAAATCGGCTAGACCGGAGCATGTACAGATGAGAGCTCTTGACACACAGAATCCAGGACAAATAAACCCATCAGGAACAGTAATGGGAGTAGCAATACCGTGAGGGTAGGGGGATGGTGGGGGGAGAAGGAGGAGAAACGGGGAACTAAGTGCAGGGATTGATGTATTAACACCCTCCTCCCCCAGGGCTATGAACAACAGAAACGTGGGTTAAGGGAGACAACGGATATTGTAAGATATGAAAATAATAATGATTTATAAGTTATGAAGGGTACATGAGGGTGGGAGGGTGGGGGGAAAGGAGCTGATACTAAGGGCTCAAGCAGAAAGCAAATGTTTTGAAAATGATGATGGTAACATGTATAAATAAATTTGTTTGATACAATTGATGTATGGATTGTTATAAGAGCTGTAAGAGCCCCAAATAAAATGATTTATTAATTAAAAAGAAAGTTCTTGGAAACAAAGTCTGATAGAAAAGGGAAAAGTAGTTGACTTGAAATTATAGATTCAAATTTCATTTTTTAATTCTGTTTTAGGTTCTTAAAATTTATAAATGAATTTTGTGGGCAGTAATTTTACAACTCTTATTGCAATCCATACATCAATTGTATCAGGAATATTTGTACATGTTTTGCCATCATTCCTTTCTAGACATTGACTTTTTATTGAGCCCTTGGTATCAGCACCTCTTCTCCCCCACCCCCCATGGCCCCTTGATAGATTATAAATTATTATTATTTTCATATCTCACACCAACTACTGTCTCCCTTCCCCCATGGTTTCTGTTGTTCTTCCCCCTGGAGGGGTGTATGTGGCTATGTGTCAATCATTGCGATCGGTTCCTCCTTCCCCACCCTTCCCCCTACCCTTCTGGTATTGCTTTTCCCATTTCTGTTCTTGGATTCTGTGTGTCGTGAGCTTTTATCTCTTATCTACACCTATGTACATGTTCCAGTCCAGTCCAGAGTGGGAAGCAGCACTAGGGTCATGATAGTGGGGGATGAGAAAGCCTCAAGGAAACAGAGAAATAGTGTGTGTTTCATCGGTGCTTTACTACTCTCCAGGTTGTCTCATCCCTTCCCTGTGACCCCTCTGTGTGGGGATGTTCCATTGTCTACAGATGGGCACTGGGTCTCTACTCTGACCTCCCTTGTTCTCAACAATACATTTTTGTTTGTTTGTTTGTTATGGATCTTCTGACGCCTGTTACCAGGTCCCGTTGACACCTCATGATCGCACCGGCTGGTATGCTTCTTCCATGTGGGCTTGTTGCTTCACTGCTGGATGGCCACTTGTTTAACTTCAAGCCTTTAAGACCCCAGGTGGTTTATCTTTTGATAGCTGGGCATCAGCTGCTTTTTTCACTACATTTGCTTATGTACCCATTTTGTCTTCAGCAACTGAGGGCTGGGGGCCGCGGCATCACAAAATGCCATTTTGTTAGAACAAAGTGTTCTTGTATTGAGGGAGGATATGAACTGAGGCCCAAGGTCCGGCCAATACTTCTATTTTTTTATGGACTAATGTATATTTACATATGGACACAACTATGCTTATACCTCTATCCATAGCTTTGCTGCCTAGAGCCTTCCTCTATTTCTTTTTGCCTTCCACCTACCCCACTATCATGTTTCCCCACTTAGTACTTCCTCTCAGCTAGGTTGCTGTTGCTCCAACACCCCCAGGATCTCTACAACTTACTTGTTGTTGGTTTTAATTCCTTAAGTGTTCCCCAGTCTGTAGTGTTGTTTGCTCACCACACCCTCACCCTCCAGGTCTCCCCCCAAGGTCATTGCCCCCCATTACTTTCTCCCTGAGCTTGCTTCCCATGCCTGTCTTATGTAACTGGGCAAACCAACAATGACATAGACCAAACAATAAGAAAAAAGAAGATTGGAAAAGGAAAAAAGAGAAATAACATACATAATTCCAGGTCTGTCTGCTGGTCTTGGGGGAGTTCCAGGAGCTGCCCCTCCTAGCCTGAATTCTATTTGGGGGGCTCTTTAGGGGCTTTGTGGTTTGTCTTTGCTACAGTTGCTGATCTGTTATTCTCCCTTCTTGGTTTGCCTTGAAGGATACCTTATTTTCTATTCGTCTTAAATTTGTAATTTGGCTTAAAATTATTTTCACTTTGAAAATAAGACAGTGATTCAAAGGCAGTTGTCTTTCTTATTCCTATGATTATTAAAAAAATAATCATACTACATACTCTAGAATATCCTCTAACATATTATACCATGTGTTTTTATAATAATATTTTAATTATTTAATTGTATATATCACAATTTATTTCAACAGTTACCAATATTGTACATTTAAATTATATCTAATTTTTGTTATTCTTAGGAGAGCATTTAGGAGCCCTGGTGGCATAGTGGTTACGTTGGGTTACTAACCTCAAGGTCATCAGTTCAAAACCACCAGCCACTCCTCAACAGAAAGCTGTGGCTTTTCCACTCCTGTAAAGAGTTACAGTCTTGAAAACTCACACAGGTGGTTCTCCCTGCCCCATAGGTCAGCTAGGACTCAGTGGCAGTAAGGCTTTCTTTTTTTAGGAGACCTGTAGGATTTCCCATTTCTCTATGTGTGTGTATATACATATACATATATACATATACATATATATATGACTACTTAAGATATATTCCTAGAAACTGAATTTCTGGTTCAGTGGATACTTAGATTTTTGAGACAAATTACCCTGAAGATAGATGATAGCCATTTATATTATTACCAACAATGTGTGATTTTGCCTCTTTCCTGGGGAAACATTTATAGTTAAATAAATGTAAAGCAAGTTTATCACAATTATTTTAATATGTATTTATTTTAGTATCAGTAGATTGGTTGGCCAGCTTTTGTATTGACTTTGTTATAATACTTTAATATTTTTACTGAAAAATGTATAAATCCAAAAAATATATATTTATTTTGTGTCCTGATAATTTCCTTAAAAGGTAAATCATTTTTCCTAATTAATATTTTCATTTATGTGTTAGTAGTTGAATTTTATTGTTTATGAAGAAATCGTGTCTCCAGATTTAAATGTTTTCACAACATCAGCCAGTAGAGGTCTCTCTAAACCAAAAATTTTCAAGAAACCGATTTATTTATTTATTTAAAGAAACTCTTAAAAATTGTCTGTGATACAGGGGCAATCCCGGCGGATTCAAGTTGAAGTGAAGTCTGTACAGGAATCTGGTACTTTACCACTAATGGAAGAGTGTATATTGTCAGTTGGCATTGGATGTATAAAAGTTAGACCATTCCGATCCCCCAAAACTCATGAGACTTTCCACGTAAGTATCTATGCTGGTTTTGCTCTTAAAGGAAGGTAAAGCCAGGAGAGAGAGTTCAGAGTCTTAGGGGCCTGTCAGAAAACTGCCCTCCATGAACAATTCTTTCAACATCTCTCTCTCTCTTTATTGCATTCTCACAAACTCACTGTGACAGATGGCTGGGTTTTGCTTTGGCTCTTGGCAACCTGAGAGTTAAAACATTTCAGCCTCTCGAAAGAGTGTCTAATAGTGATTAACTTCCTCAGCTTCTCTCCCCCCTCAACATAAACCCCCTACTGGCTTATAAAGACTGTTTGCCAGCAGGTGTTTGATTTCCCCTGGCGAGTGGGAGTATAAACCCAGCAGGGAAAGTATTGTACTGGTTCCTGAAAAGGTCAAATGAGTATAGTTCACTCTCCTCAGAGAAACTCAAGGTTTCATTTCATTCCCTGAGGACTATGAAACCAAAAGTGAGGGTGAAGGTAGGTGGGACATGAAATAGCATACTAATTAAATTCAAAAACATAATACGGAGAAAGATTCCACTTGTTTAGCATAGGCTAATTCTTAGATAATTTTTTTGTTATTCTGCATTTTTTTTTCTTTAGGAAGAAGAAGATGACATGGACAGCTACCAGGTAATTTTGCACCTGCTTGCCTCATCAAATAAGTTTGATTAGCATCAACATTCTTGGAGCTTGCTGTACTGTTACTTAATAAGTATGCAGTTAAATTTGATCCAAATATTGTTTTTTCTTAAGTTAAAACACACTAGAGATCAATGAGTATAGCTTTATAAAGTACAATCTTTTAGACTCAGGTAGTTTAATGTGTTATCCCAAAGAAATTATGTGTGAATGTGGCTCTTTTATTCAGGATTCCCACAGAACCACAGCCTCTTCCTTGTTCTTTTTCTGTCCTTGAATGGAGACACCACTACCCTTTTTACCATTGCACTTGGCTTACACTGTGCTTCAGTCAAGCCACGCCCCTGAGGTATTTTTCATACTCTGAAGCCCATGTCTCTTTCCCATACTTGCAGTCATTTACATGGTTTTTTTTTGTTTTCCTTTTAATAATCTCCTGCAAGAATTTGTTTATGTGTGTTAAATTTTTATCATGTTAGTCTTGGCTCATCCTTCGGGGCCATCAGAGCAAATCCTGATTATGGCATCCAGTGTAGTCACTCTTCTGGTTTTTTTATCATTCTAATTTGATAAGAAGTCTGCCATCGTATAAGTCACTGATAAAAATATTGTGTCAGATGGAGTAAAAATGCAGAGACCTGTAGCACAACAATAGAGACTTCGTTTTAAGCTGTTATTTTTTCCATTCATTACTGTTGTTTGCATGTGGTATTTCAGTTAGATGTCGATGAGAATGTCATAAGCTATTTGGTCAAGTGCCTTAGTGAAATCCAGATACTACATCTATAGCATTCCACTGGCCTATCCAGTCTTGTAACTCTATTAAAAAAAGGAAATGATGTAAGATTGGCATTTGTTCAGGTGTTGACTGGTAGAGCTGCTAGACTGTCAGTAACAAACACACAAGCACGACGTACACTGGGCAGGAGAGGGAGAGGGAGAGGAAGCAGAGGGAGAGGGAAGGGAAGAGAGAGAAAGAGAAAAAACATGTTGGAGAGAATAATGAAGCATGTTGAACACACTAGGTAAGACTTGTGAAGAATATTTCTGCGGGTTCTGAAGGATATAGGTTATTGTTTATTATTTGAGTTTTATCCAGCAAAGAATTTTACTTGCAAGTAATTGGAACCATTAGAAAGAAAACTGCTTCTGGGTACCAGAGAATATCCCTTGAGACTATCCTTTGAGTCATGCTTTAACTTCTGAGAATTTCTGTTCTGAATTATGGTTGGAGTCAACCATAATTTAGTAGTAGGGTAGAAATTAAGAATTTACTGTATAATACTTTACATTTTTGAAGCATGTTAGAAAAGACTGCACTATCAATTTCTTTTTCTTTATATTTTACCAACCCTAACCCTAAACCTGAACCTAAGTCTAACACCAACCCTAACCCTAACCCCGCGCTATCAGTTTCAAAGAAACTGTTTTGGTACGCTGTTTATTTATTTTTTTCCTTTTTTTTTCTCTTGCAGGACAGGGATTTAGAGAGACTACGTAGAAAATGGCTGAATGCATTAACAAAACGTCAGGAGTACTTAGATCAACAACTACAAAAGCTTGTCAGCAAACGTGGTAGGAAAAGCAAGATGAATATTTTCCTCCCCACCAAATCAGTAGATAATTAATCTCGATTTGCAGCCACATAAATTAAAAAGCCAGATGAACAAATGAATAGCAAATTGTCGAGCATATAAATGTTACTCCCAGTTTTCTTTGTTTTGCTTCCTTTCATAGGAATTTTTATGTATCCATTTGCTCAAATTTTCAAGCACTCACATAACAACAAAGAAAGAGAAAAGGCAAGGTTGTTAGTCAAAAGCAACTTTAAAAAGAATGTTTATTAATCAACATACTTGGGTTTTCTAATTCCAGAGCAAGTAATTCCTTAACTTTAGGCTTTCCATGAACTGAAGATGACCTCTTAGAGCATAAGCCACCAGCTGACAGTTACTGGAGCTCTCCCCCACCCGCCACCTTTGATCGCTCATTATTGGTAGTAGAGAAGTGTATTGATTTTCCAGTGATTCTTTATCAATCAAAATATATAATGTTTACCTAGAATGAACGTATAAAAAGCAATTGAACTCTCTACTTGATTCCTATGCCTTATGTTCCAGATAAAACAGAGGATGATGCTGACCGAGAAGCCCAACTTCTAGAGATGAGGTTGACTCTCACTGAGGAAAGGAATGCAGTAATGGTCCCCTCTGCTGGCAGTGGGATTCCGGGGGCCCCAGCAGAATGGTATGAAGCTTACAATATGTCTTTTGAAATTCTAAATAAATTGCCTGCTTTCAATATGAATTTTTCCGGTGTTTCAATTCATGGGAGATTCATAATGCACATGGGGGAAAAGTTATTTGAATTAAAGGAACTATTGAATTATTTTCATGAGTTGAATAACTGTGGCCTAAAATGGCGTTTATGAAATAATGTTGTTATTGGCCAAAGGTATTAAGATTTCTGAGAATCTAAATCAATATTTAGTGCCATTGCACTTACATTAAACGAAAAGTTAATATGTTAATTACTTGGGGTCAATCCCTTAAAAGACTGTCCTGCCACAATAAAATTACATCTCCAGAAGTTCTTGGGTTTTGTGCTGATTTAAACTGTACTGTCAGCAGATGTTCTATGCCACTTTATAGATATTAAAAATAGCAAATTAAACCACATGGGGCCCTCAAGTATATAATGTTGTTAGACAATATGTTTAAATGAGGGACTTGAATTATAAACAGGTTTATGCATCTTATAAGACTAACTTCTAGTATCAGAGACTATGATAATTACACATAAACAGCACTGGTACAAAGAAGTAGCTCCAGTTAAGTCTTTGTTGCATTTATAATGTTAAATTTTGTAAAACCAGTAACTCGCATTATATTTGACTTGTCCTGTAACACTTCTGGAGGTTATTAGGGTTATACCTTGATAAACATGCTCCTGTGAAAGCCTGCTTTGTTGGAGATGCGATTTGTTCTTTGTTTCAGGACTCCAGTGCCTGGGATGGAGACACACATTCCTGTTATATTTCTCGACCTAAATGGTAAGTTATGAGGTGTTTTCTGAAGGCGTACATCTCCTGGCAAATTACTGTCCAAATAACATGTCGGTTCTAACCGAGTATATAATTAGGTAATTCTGTAATCTTAAAGTAAAGTCATTTTATTGTGTTTATTCAGTAATTCTGTAATCCAAAAGTACAGTCTTTTATTGTGTCTACCCCTTTAGAAGAATGGGCTTTTTATAAGTGTAGTATTGCTATAACCATAATAGGTATGTTTCGTTGTGATGCTGTCTCATTTCCTTACCACAGTGACAGTGCTGTGTATATGCTTGGTACTCCCATCAACTTAGGATGATAGTAATATTTTGCATACCTATAAATATAAAGTAAAGTCTTTTCTTCTTTCTTTATTTAGGGAAAGACCCATATTGGGGTGGGACTCTCTGGAAAGAACTAATAGCTAACAATTCTTAGCTAATATTCTTTTGCTGATTTTTTTGTTAGCAATTTTCTAATAAATTTCTCACTTTTTCTCTAAGGTCTTCTGACATTCATTTGTTTTTAAATACCTGGCATTTTCTGGCTTTATTCTACCATGAGAACTCCTTTAGGTCTAGCTTTCTGGAGGAGAGAGAATGAAAATTTAAAAGGTAGATGATAAAAGAGGTAAAAATGAGTAAAAACATATCAGTTAAATCCCTGAAGTATCTAAAGATAGGAACTATGAATTAAAATCATTCTAACTAGACGTGCTTGCATGTCCTTGGTGTCATTCTCCTCCTGAACTAAAAGTGAGTTCTAATAACTGAGATGTTTAGGATCTTGTGACATTTAACTTCTTTGTACATATGGAAGATTTTTTATACATACACAGAAGTAGAGATTCATACTTAGCCACTCCATCGGCTATCCACTTGTTCACATAAATTTTCTAAAAATTTAGTGCCACAAGGTTATGTCCTACTTTATCCTCTTGAGCCAAGGATACTGAAATTTACTTCAGTCTAGTCTTAAGTTGAGGTTCTGAGGTGGGGACGGGGGCAACTACATAACAAAGTGGACAAGGATAAACTTAAAAGTCCCGATTAAAGGAGAAGACCAGGACCTTGCTCACTAAGCATTTTGAACATTCTGCGTATACCCAAAGCTATACACTAGAAAAGGTGCTGTTTTTCCCTACTCCCAAGTTTAAGATGGTTAGAGAGTTGGGAAATTAGCCTGAAATAGAATAATCAGAGTGCCATAGGGAAGCCTTCTAGTGTTTACCTCATGTTTCACGTTGCCTGCCAATTGATTGATCTTTTTCTTGAACTTTAGCTTTCTGAAAACAAAAACTAGTCCGACCCCCCCCCCCAAAGAAAACACTCTCCCATATTTTTGATTTCTTACCATGCCTTGTAAATGCAACTACTAAAATCAATGACTGAAAGGTAGAAAAATTTGGGTTCTAATCCTATCTTTAACATTTATGAGCTATGACCTTGGGTAAAAAGTCTAAGATGCCTTGACTTCAGTTACCTTCCATGTAAAATAAGTCTGAAAGACCAGAGAGTTCATAAAATGATTTCTTAGAGGCACATTTTATCTCTAAGGTAAGATAATGTAGACTATTTAATGATCATCATCCGTATTGCATGAGATTTCAGAGCAAAAAGCAAAAGAAATTTAAAGCAGAAGACTTTAAATAATCACACTGAAATTTAGCTGATAGAGGTTATCTTATAAAATGATCTCAGTGTTTAATGGAGCTCTTGCTTTTAGCTGATGATTTCAGCTCTCAGGATAATCTTGATGACCCAGAAGCTGGTGGATGGGATGCTACCCTCACTGGGGAAGAAGAAGAAGAGTTCTTTGAACTGCAGATTGTAAAACAGCATGATGGAGAGGTAAAGAAAGCATAACTTTAGATCAGACTCAAAACAGTTTCATTAACCTTTCCATGAGCATGAGAATAATTTCAGTGCTTATATTTCTCAAAACATATAAATGAAAGCCTCTCGCTGTGATTTCCAGAAAGAGTCGGACTTGAACACCAGAGTACACACATTCAGCTTTAGCTCCTCTCTTGGAAAGGGATCTATTTGTGTCATAGTGCATATCAGCGGTGGGCCACTCCCTGGATCGGGGCTTGATTTTGTTCCTCAGCATGTGAGAGTTGGAAGTAAATGCCAGTGAGGTCTATAGAGGTAAAATGACATTATCTTGGTGATTTGCTTTGAAATTCTTCAGAAAAGAAATTATTTTATTTTTAACACTTTATTGTGAAGGGGTGGAGTTTTACAGAGATAAAGGTTTTCCATTCCAATTCATACACATTTTGTTTCATCTCATTGATTACAATCCCCACAATGTAAATCATTTATCCCACTTTTTTCCTGTTTCCCATTTCTAACCCTTCCTGCCTTCTGACTTTGTCCTCAGGCAAATGCTGCCCTTTTGATATTGCTCTAGTGTTACTGGTCGCCTTACAGATCTCTCTATTGTGTGACTGAAAATTAAGTCTTAGATGTCTGCTCAGAAGCTATTAAGGCCTCCAGTTGTTACTCACCAAAGTTGGATGTAGAATATTTTCTTTGTGAACTAAGTTGTGCCAATTGACCTTGGTATCCCCCCATGAATATGGTCCCAAATGTATAGGCCCAGCAACGTACTCCTTCAAGGTTTTTGATGAAGACTAAGAAGGCTTCATAACTTTGTCCTCTGTGTTTTCTACTCCATTCAAGGAGATATTTGCAGCAGATGTAAATCTCTATGTAGAAATATCTTTGGTCAAACCTTTTATAGTCATGGCCATAGGTCCATTCTTCTTTCCATACCTGTTCATCTTGCATGTTTGTGTATGTACCAATGGATTACTGCTGTTATTATTATTGCAGGATCGTATGTATACTTACTATGTTGGCTTTCTCTCTTTTACTTCTCTCAGTGTCTTCCTTTGCGTTGACGCTTCTGTGCTGACCCCCCTTCATCATTAGGGTTCCTTTTGCTCTTCCCCCTCTCTTATCCAGGGTAACCATTAAAGGCAGCTTCTTTCTGTGTGAAAGCTTTTCTGGACTTTTTATAATAGTGATCTCATATAATTTTTGTCCTTTTGTGATTGACATATTTCAGTCAGCATCATGTCTTATAGGTTCATCCATGCTATGAATGTAATAATTTTGCTGTTACTCTTGAATGTCGAGTTGTATTTCATTGTGTGTCTGTACCACTGTTTGTTTGCCCATCTATTTCTGAAATCTTATAGATATCTATTTAATGTTCTTATATGATTTCTAATTTTTCACTTGTCAGTTTGTTCTTGTACTGCCTTCCTGAACTCATCCAGACTTTTGTCTTTGGTTTTGTTGTTTGTTTTTGTTTTGGGTCTGTGTTTTCCTGGATCTTCCTCCCAATCTGTTGAAAGTATCTAAATATCTTTCTTTTTTAATTTCTAATCAGGAATTTCCAATGCCCTTTCATCCTCAGTGAAGGTCTTCTGGCTTTATGTTTTGCACAATTGTTTGAGTCACTCTGTTTTGTTGCTTTGTGTAAATTGAGGTTGTTGTCTATCTCTAAAACTTTGTGTTTGTATTTAATTGATGTGTTTTCCCCAGGGTTCTTCCCTTTATTTTATTTGGTATGTCTGAGTGAGTGGGGTGGATGTGCTACTATATTTGCTACTTCAGAAACATTTAGCCTACTCACTACCTGTTTCCTGGTAGGCGTGATAAAAGATGAGTTGTTTGTGTAAAGAGTTTGTTCAGAATTGGGCTGATATTGGCCACTATCTTGTCTATCATCAGGTGGTATGAAAGTGGGTTAATGTATATACAATGGGGGGTGAATTCTATAGTTTCAAGAATGTTTGAGAAAGAATATTACAAAATTTGAAGGAAAGAAAGTTGCTGTAATGAACTGACAACACAACATTACTTAATGGTATTTCTGACTAAAAGACAACATTTGGGTTTAATAATGAGGAAACAAAAACCTACTTGAGAAACATTCTATAAAACAGTAGGCCTGTACCCTTTCAAAAAGTAAATGTCATGAAGGATAAAAAGAATGAGGAACTATTCCAGATTAGAGTGATCTAAAGGAAATGAAAACTAAATGCAATTTGTGATCATATTTTGGGACAATTGGAAAGATTTGAATATGTACTCTATATTAGATAATGTTGTATCGAGGTTAAATTTCCTGAGTATGGTAATTGTTCTATGGTTAAGTGAGAGGATGTTTTTGCTCTTAGGAGAGATACTTGCTAAACTATTTAGGATGAAGAGTAATATGCCTGCACTTTACTTTAATGTAATTCAGCAAAAGTAATAAGTATGTTTGTATGTGTGTATGGCAAAATGGTTACAGTTGATGGACTTAGAAGAAAGTCATATAGTAGTTCATTGAAGTAAATTTGCACTTTTTCTTCATGTTTGAAAAGTTTTCAGAATAAAAAGAGTGAAAGTTAGCAAGGCATAAATATTATGCGCTGTACTTCCCAGAGAAAGCAGAGTGAATTGTATATCCCAGTTGTATAAGGGTACGTCTCAAAGTAGAACTTGCTTGTGATTTACATAAGCCACCTGAGCTCAGGTGCCATTATTTCATTGAGAGAGCTTTTGTTTTTTATAGATGAGGGAAACATACATTCTTTGTCTTCTCTGCAGGTGAAAGCAGAAGCTTCCTGGGACTCTGCAGTACATAACTGCCCTCAGCTCAGCAGAGGCACCCCCTCAGATGAGCGACTGTTTCTCATCGTGCGGGTGACAGTCCAGCTCAGCCATCCAGCTGACATGCAGCTGGTATTACGCAAACGCATCTGTGTCAGTGTTCATGGCCGGCAGGTAAGTCATTTATCCTAGGAGAAATGACTATAACCCCAGATCCAACAGGAAGGCAGGGCCACAGAATGATTGTGCTGACTTAACTGTCCAAATACAGTCTCTGGAGCGCCGAGCTTTTCTTTTCAAGGTGACTGTTATTGTCCCAGAATAGATTTGCTTCAGTCTCCTAACATCAGCCTGGCTTCACATCTATTCTTCTTCTGTCAAACAGAAGTGTAGTTTTTGCCTTTTGATCTGAGTCCTACAAGATGAGAAGGTTCACTGGCAGATTGGCTGTCCATTAGTATTGCACTTCTTGCGCTGTTCCCTTTTCTATTCTTCCTTCCTTTTTGGGGGGCATCACTGCTAATTCTTAGATTTTGATTTTTAGAGAAGGAACTCTATCCAGTGAGTTCAAGATAAAAAGATGAAAAAAGCTAGTTCTTGTTTTTATAGAACCTAAATCTACATGCATTTATAGGCATTTGAAGGAGCCCTAGTGGTGTTGTGAATGTGCTTTGGGCTGTGATCCACATGGTTGGTAGTTTGAAACCCCCAGCAGCTCCCCAGGAGAAAGACTGGGCTTTCTACCCTCAGCATAAACAGTTATAGTCTTGGAAACACACAAGGGCTATGAGTCAGCAGTGACATGATGGCAGTGAGAGATATAAGTGTATAAATGGGCAACTAGTCTGCAGTAATGTACACAAACTGTGAGGATGTTTAATTCTGTTGTACATAGATTTTATCTTAATCATGCTGTTTGGATCCTTAACAACAATGATACTCTGTATGTGATAAGTGCTTTCAATATAAGCAACAAAAAGAACGGTTAAATGACAGGTGAGAGAATGATGAATTCAGCAGATGAAGTCAGGAAAGCTTTTGTAGTAAAGGGTAGTGTTTGAGCTGGTAGTTTAAAGCCAAGGAGTGTTTGCTATGCAAGCAGGAAGAAAGGTATTCCATGGAGAGAAGAAAATAATATGCAGAGGTAGTACAGAAGGCATAAAAATGGTCAGTGTGGGGAATAGTTAGATGTGTAGTGTGATGAGTGTACTGCACATGCCACAGAACATGGCTATAAATGTAGCTACAGCTAGATTATGTAGGACCTCAAGTTATAAGAAGAAGTTTGGTAGAAAAATCTTAGAAGTAAGGATTTACCATGCAATTGGTTTTACAAATATGTAAAGATTTAGGAGGTTTATTCTACAAATTCTTTTTAGCTGTCCACACTTCTTTGAAACATTCTCAGCACATGGACTGGAAGATGTATAGATGAATCTATTTATTCATGTCTGATGTGGCAACATCAGAACTAATAAATTTATTAAAAAGCAGGTATACTAGAATAATAACTGGACTGGGAAAAATTAGGAGTTGAAGCCCTGTAATAGGAAATTAGGAAGAGGGTAGTGAGCCCTTTCAAGAGCCTAATGCAGTAGATCGAATTGTTGCCAGGCCTATGGAGAGTGACATACATCGAGAGCTGTGCGGTCAGCTGCCATATTTGAGCTGGGCAGTATTGTTTCCATCTCTACCAGTGAAGAGATTTTTGTGCTATAAATGAATCCCCTGTCCCTGTATTTAAGAGGTAAATTAAGGTTCTAGCAGAGCACTGACCATAATTTTTCTCGTTCCACTTATCATTCCAGTACACCCACATTTTATAAATCCGGGTCTGTTCTGGTTTTGCTTCATTGGCCATGACTGAACTGGGAAGAACTGGTTTGAAGCCCTGGACAAAAATAAATCTTTTCATTTAAAAGAGCACAGTCATGGCTGACAGACTCCTAGATGTAATCTCCACCTCTAAAAATTAATCTTTAGTTCTAAATGTCACACTGATATCTATCTTTGAAATGAAGACTGGCATTAACACTGTTAAAATTGCATCTCTTTAGCTTGGCAATCCAACATCAATAAAACCTAGGTCATAGGGTTATTCATAGATATATATGCTGTATCTCCCATTCACTCTCTGTTTCCCTTTCTTGTGAGTTTGGAAGAAATAGCAAAAGACACAGCTCATGGAGGAGTATTATAAGAGATTTTTCCATTTTAGCATTATAGATGCTGGTAGCTAGACACTGGGACCTAGCTGGAAAAACTGCCATTCCAAAGAACCATTAGCATAGAAGTTGTGTTGTTGAGGCACCAAGTGTGTACTTTATTTATTTATTATTTTTTGATTGGGTGGGGGTGGGGGGAGTTGTCAGATTTTGCCCAGGTGGAAATGATTTGGAAGTATTTTAGGGCACACCATTTCCCCTCCTAGTTTCTAAAAATTGCTTCCTCATAGCAAGAGGGACTTTCTCATTATCCGAATACATCAAATTTGGCTTCATTCATGCTATACAAATAAAAAGCATTATAATAATAATAATAATTATCCATACTTCCTCTCATCACCCACATAAAAAACCTATGTCACATTTCAGCCAGTGTAATTGTCAGTAACTCTGCATTGCCCTACTAGAGTTGAGAGAGTAAAGGGATAAAATAAATGGGAAATTTGCATCTTTGAGTGTAAGTACATTTGTGAAGTTACCTATTTCTTGGATCAAAGACCTTGATGTTTCCTTTGGAGGTTTTCACATATTTCTTAACGTTCCTTTCATCTGGGGAAGAAGGTTCAGTGCCTGTTAAATATTCTTTTCTTATCTTTATTCACCAACTGTAGTCTGCCCTCATCCCTGCTCTCTTCAACCTTTACAGGATGTTCAGTCTTAGCAGCGTCTTCCAATGAGTCATCCATGCATTAATTCAGCAGTTCAATTCTTAACTCTGCAAAGAGCACAGTCAGCATAAACAATGACCATGCACTCTTAAATCATTCTTCATAACGATCCTGCTTTGGTCGAGAATTTAATGCCCGAACTTGTCAATATTCGTGGTACAAGATGTCCATTGTGTTACAAAAAAAAAAAGAAAAGAAGCTGTAAGACTCACCAGCCCTTGATTTTGCTTGTGTCTTCGTTAGAAGGTCATTTTATTGTATAAAGTCAGCCATTTTATTTCCCTGGTATTTAAGCAGAGTCTCACTAACTGCCTAGTGACAATTTCCAGAAAATTCTGGAACTTTTCATGTATATTCTGTGCTTTTCATGTATTGGGCATAGGACCTAACCTCACTGCAGGCATTTAATAAACTGGGGAAAGTGCATGTGGTGATTGGAATCCTCTTGCTTATATTGGAAGGATGTTCTTGTTTTTCTTTTGGATAGAATAGATGCATTTTGTTTTACACTGGGTTCTTTGTGTGTGTACGTGTGTGTGTGCATGCATATGTGTTTGTGTGTGTATAACTGTAAACACAATTTGGAAATCTATTTCCTGTTTCATTTTTCTCTAGGGTTTTGCTCAGAGTCTTCTAAAAAAGATGTCTCATCGAAGTGCTATTCCTGGCTGTGGAGTCACTTTTGAAATTGTTTCCAATATTCCAGAGGTAAAGGACCATAGAAATTTGAATATTCTGAAAATAAAGTGTTCACTTACAAAGAGCTAACTCCCTGAAAAGTCACTTACTCAGGAAATGTTGATTAAATTGAAATATAGATTGGAAAAAAAATGCTGTAGGCTTTCAGAATAACATTCTCCTAATCTTAATTCCGTTGATAGCAGAACCCACTTGTAAAGTTAAAGCTGTGGTTTTAGTATTTTTCACAATTGGGGGATGGGGACATGAGAAGATGATAGTATTGTGACCCAAGAAGGGAGACTACATAGAGATTAAATGTATCACTTTGAAGTCAAATTTATTAGCAAAGTGAATGTGCACATGTTACTTAGAGCCTAATTTTATTTGTCAATGGGGTTAATAAGAACTTCTTCACAGGAATTTTTTAAGAAAAAAGTTGTATATGAATTATTTTATTCATTTAGTTGCCCATATTCCTATTTTTTATTATTATTGCTTTATTTCTCTTTTTAAACTAGTAGAGATAATTAGAGGAGTCACAAATCGAGTCCAAAATAGCTCTGGTTGAAGCTTGTTGGAGAATATGACCTAGATGTGTTTGCTGACCGGTGACTTAGGCAGATGTCATTATGCAGTCCTGGCCTAGCTGGGCAATGGTGAAGGAGACATATGATGGTTGTAAGGATGGGGGTCCAAAGAAGGGAAAGAAGATGAGTGAGTGAAGAGGTGGGGACTACACTTTGCTGTGAGAGGGAAAACTATGAGACATGGAAGACCCTTCCCACCACACCATCTACGATATGATTCTCTTCATTTAAGGACTTAATATTCAATTGAGCATGTGAATAATAGATGGATAATGTATGTTTTTAATAGATTCAATTTTAGAAAAGTAAATCAGATAGTGCTTAGGTTTTGTTTTGTATCTTATTTTACAAAACACTTTTGCTCTCAAGTAATGTCAAGTAAATAAATAGATATTTCCCAGATCTTCAAAGTATTAGACTTTTTTAAAAAAATAGTCATTTTATTAGGGGCTCATACAACTCATCACAACACCTCATCCGTACATACATCATTTGTGTCCAGCACCTTAGTACATATGTTGACTTCATCATTCTCACAACACCTGCTTTCCACTTGAGCCCTTGATGTCAGCTCATTTTCCCCCCTCCCTCTCCGCTCCCCTCTCCCCCTGAACCCTTGATAATTTATAAATTATTATTATTTTATCATATCTTACCCCATCCAACGTCTCCCTCACCCACTTCTCCGCTGTCCGTGCTCCAGGGAGGAGGCCATATTCGACCTTGTCATCTGTTCCCCCTTTCTCCCTCACCTTCCCTCCACCCTCCGGCTATCGCCAATCTCTCTACTGGTCCTGGGGGGTTCATCTGTCCTGGGTTCACTGTATTTCCAGTTCCTATCTGTGCCAGTGTACATCCTCCGGTCCAGCCGGATATGCAAGGCAGAATTGGGATCACGGTAGTGGGGGGGTGAGGCTGGGAGAGGAAGCATTCAAAGTATTAGACTTTAAGTAGTAAAAATTAGCTATTTAAATATTTACTTTAGTGCTTACTGCACATCTAAAAAATAAGCCTATTTCCAGAGTTAGAAAAGGTGTAAAATCTTGCATGTGTAATAGATTACTCCATGTTGTTCATTCCCTCCTGCTTATAAGTATTACAAATGTTATTTTCTGCATCTAAACATTCTGTATGTTTTTCCAGTTGTTTCAGATTATAACTCTATAGTTGGTTTAAGTGCAATTAAGAAACAGTGATAACTATAAGTACACTGTTTTTTTCCTTTTCTGTCTTTTTCTTCTGTCCTTTCTTCCCTTGTTCTTCCTCTCTACCCCCTTCTCTCCCTTCCTACTTGTAATTTATTTTTTATCTTTGAAAAGGTGTTTTTGTTCTTTTTTCACATTACCAAATTCTACTAATAAAAGAAAACAGGAAACTGAAAATGTGTAGTGTAAGGACTATACTTGGTTACTTCTTTTAAAAAAATTAAAATTTTTTAAACAGAACGGCCCCTTAATAAATAAGCTAGGCTTTATCATGAAAAATTCACAAAAGTTTTTAAGGTATGAAGGAGTTTTGGTGGACCAGTGTTAAGAATTGGGCTGCTAACATGAAGGTTGGGGGTTCGAACTCACCAAGCATTTTATTAGAAAAGGATGTGGCAGTCAGCTTTATGAAGACTTGTAGTCTTGGAAACACAAAGGGCAGGACCACTCTATCCACCTTACAGGGATGTTTTAAACTGGAACCCAATAGGTTTGGGTTTGATTTCTCCATTAGGGTCTGATGAATGGCAAGAAGTGGTCCTAAGCAAGAGAGTAGCAAGAGACAGATTCTCTCTCCTTAAAAAACAAAGAAAATGCCCGTTTATTCTGTTCAAACACCCAATCTGTTTGGGGTTCTGTAGTAAAAAGAGTGCTTCTATTGGGAGTCAGGAGAGTTTGAGTATGGCCATTTTTGCTAATTATGTGGCTGCCTTCTTTCATCCACCATATAATGGAGAACCAGTCCTCCACTTCAGGATTGGACTAAGCTCCAAAGATTTACTGTGGATAATAAAGTTTTCTGAGCTCTAAACCTTTTGACAAATTCTGTCATGTTTAACTGCTGCTAAGATGACTTTAAATTTTTAAAAATAATTTTGAAGTTGGGATGTTTCTTATAATTGATGATATATAAAATAATGCTTTGTCTTGCAGTTGATGTCATCTTAAAAAGCAGTGGAATATAGATACATATTTTATCATTTTTGGCATGATAGCAAATTCACTAATAAATAAAATACTGATTTTTCTCTGAGAAGAGTAATTTATTATGAATCAAATTTGCTTGAAGCAATTAAACAGTCATAAAGACCCTCCCTGGCTTGCGAGTATCCTGTATGCCTGCATTTATATGCTTGGCCAGCCCATGACAGAGGAGAAAGGGTGGGTTCTGCCCGAAACTCAGTGAGTGAGAAGTTACCCAGGTACCTCTCTCTTGGATCTTCTCTGGATCTTCAGCCATTGCTACTCCAGCGTTGAGGGTGGGGATCAGTTTTAGAAGCTGCCACTTTTTGCATATATAGTTCAGGATAGGCTGCTCAGTAGCTGGGACTGAAATCTAACCTCTATTCGCATTCCTATTATCCATACCTATATCTGTTTTCTACTAGGATTGTGGGTATTCCACCTTATCAGGTTGGTCACCCTAGCTCCTTATCCCTGTCTTTTGTCCTTCCAAGAGTTCCAGTGAGGAGATAATGTTCCTGAATCATTGTTATTCTGGTGATTATGTTGCTGGCTAGCTCACAAAAGCTTTTCTATCAAGTAACATTTTTTGCTTGCAATGAAAATGCTTTTGTTTGCAGTGAAAATTTAGCAGAAAACACTTTTGTGATGAATTCTTGTCTTTTAAATTAACCTAGAAACCTAACCCTCATTTCTTAGGGGAAATACATTTGCATTCCAAAGATTACTTTAAAATAGAATTTTAGGAATACATTTTGTTAGTTTCAGAACTCGGTGAGTGTGTGTTATATTGTTTACAAAGCTTTTAGAATGTTTTTCTTATATAAAATACTGAGTTTTAATGCCAAACTTTCCATTTTTCAGGATGCCCAGGGTGTAGAGGAACGAGAAGCATTAGCAAGAATGGCAGCCAACGTTGAGAACCCAGCGTCTGCTGACTCAGAGGCTTATATTGAAAAGTACCTCAGAAGCGTGCTGGCTGTGGAAAACCTCCTTACTTTAGATCGTCTTCGCCAGGTCTGCCAATAGAGTTGGTAGCTGCGGTAGTAACCCAGCCTAATTCTCCTTGGTTTTGTATAATCTGCGGTATGGTTACAGCTGAACTTTCGAGGTGTTTGTTTAAATGGAACACATTTAGATCAATTTCTGGCCTGTTAGATCTCAAAAGACACAAAACTACTTTCTTACACAAAAAGTTACTTTTTTTCAAGATGCTATAAATGTTAAAAGGTGTTCTGGTCTCGTAGTGGATTTTCTGTTAGCCTGCTGCATATAAGGTCAGAAGTTCCAACCTACCAGCAGGTCCAGGGGAGAAAAATGAGGCTTGGGGCTTGCGCCCCTAAAGATGAACAGTCTCAAAAACCCACATTGGCAGTTCTACTCTGTCCTACAGGGTCTCTGAGTCAGAATCAACTCAGTAGTAATCAGCGTGATTTCTTTCTCCTTTTTTTTTTTTTGCCTTGAAGTAATGGAAGAATGTATTTCATTCTTGATAACTAAATAATTATTTTATATTTCCCTTGATATTGGGTAGTGGTAATGCTGAAGAAATACATAGTAATGCGGCAGAATGAGCCCTTCTTACCCTCACTGGGCATACCTTCTGTGGCCTTCAAGTGGATTTTTAGAAGGGGATAGTAGGAATGTTAACATTAAACAAAATCCTTAGAGAAATATTAAAGCTTATCTTACCTAGCAATATTGAGACTTTTCCCCAAAAATATTAGTAACAAATTAAAGTGAATGATCTAAATTCCAACATTTTCCTCTTGGATTCTGGGGCAAACTTTTGGCCAGCTACAAGGAGGCAGGTAGTAGGTAGCAAAAATTAAAGATAAAGATAATCTCCTTAACCTGCCACTTATATAATTAACTTTGAATAATCAAATGTGCGTACTGGGTTATTCATTCATGTGAAGTAATAATCATTATTTAAACAACTAACATGTATTGCACAGATGGTAGATCTAAGCCTGCTTTAGATAGTATTGCTTATGGAGTATGTCTCTAATATGTGTTTTTCCTCTGTGTGTTACCTGATTCATAGGAAGTTGCAGTAAAGGAACAGTTAACTGGAAAAGGGAAGTTGAGTAGGAGGAGTATTAGCTCTCCAAATGTCAACAGAGTGAGTACAAAGAATCACAGTCCATGCCGTGCCTTGTGTCTAATTTATATCTTCTTTACTTGAGTAGCTCGGTCCTTTAAAGTTCATCTTCGAAGTAATTTCTTCCTTGAACTTATGCCATCCCGTCATTCTTTAACCATGCTGCATATGCCGATGTCACAGTTCTTACTAATATTATAAGGACATTATCTATTTAAGTACTTTTCACATGTTTCTTGAGTGTCTTTACCTCACTGGTGCCTAACACAGACTAGGTGCTCCATGGATATTGACTGAACCTAAGTAAAACTAGCCAAGTGCTTAGGGCAGGCCATGTAAATATTCTGCACTTCATTTAATCATTGTATATTGAGGAAAAGTCTCAACTAGGTTTGCAAGCTCAAATACTTACAGGCCTGACAGGTAGCTTAAATGAGTAAAATAGAGCTGTGTTTTCCAAAGTGGGTGATACAGCCCCTTGGGGGATAATGGAATGATTGGGGGCAGTGGGAGGGACACTGTGATACAAAAGTTTTTAATTGTTAGGGGGCCACTGAGTGATTGTTTTTCCGGAAAAATGGGCAATAGGCCAAATAAGTTTAAGAACCTATAAAACAGGTTTATTTTCATAATTGTATCGTAAGTTTGCAATTAAAAAAACACATAGATATATCTTTTTTTTCTCCTCTCATTGATTTTGATAATGATGTTGATAGGAGAAATTATTATGCTTTGACTGGACTTTGTACCAAGAAGAATTACAGTGTAAACATTGTACTAAAGAGCAGCTGCCCTTTAGCATTGGTGTTTGACAATAGTGACAGGAAGTACCTCAAACTGGAGAGCATGTCTCCTGTGAATGAAACTGTTGAGTTCTCATATCACTCATGATGTCAGGGTGAACAATTTGGGAATATTCTGAGACATTAAGAATGAATACTTTACTTGAAGGTAAAATAGCTCAGTTTATCTTCCAGGAAATTACATATTAAAATGTACTAGCATATGCAGAAATTGTGATTTAAAATACTTCATGAATATAGATTTGCTGTAAGATTCACAGGAATCTTAAGACCAGGACATACCCGTAACCTGGGGTCTTTTCAATAGAAGGGAATCAACAAATAAAAGATCTCTTAGTTCCAGCCAGTTGCCTCTTTACAGATATCTTGTAAACTGGATAGCTACATTTTCTATCATTTCCCATTTAAAAGTTATTGATATACTGTTTAATTTTTAAAAGTGCTTTAAAAGCATCCCAGAGGCCACTATTGTACAGCTTTCCTCTAGACAACCTTTCTGCCATCGTCCAGCTTTCCATACTCATGAGTCGATTTCCAAAGCTTGCATTTCCATGGATTTATTCATGTGCCATTATACATAAAGGAATAATCCTTCTTTGTATTTCTTTAGTTATCTGGAAGCCGGCAAGATCTTGCTCCATCATGCAGTCTAGGCAGCAACAAGGTGGGTATTTATAACTATTTCCTACCAGGTTTTAGACCTTTTTCACATTTGATTCCTTTTTTTAAAACATAATACATTATACTGATATATAAAAATTTCTCTGACATTTTGGGGTAATGTGAAATACTGATGTATATATATATTTTTTTCTCTACCATTTAACATAATAAGGATTTGCTAGACATTTTTATGATTAAGACTGAAAAAGAAAACTATTTTGTTACTAAAGTTATTATTTTTGTCAAATATATTCTTCATGTTTCTTTTAAGAATGACAAGGGAACAAAGGTTATGTGAGCAAGTGTGTTAGGCTGAATTGACTAGAGAAACAAATCCAGAAACACTTATATATGTGTAGAGAGAGCTTTATATCAAGAAGTAGTTATATATCAGGAGAACAGCCCAGCCCAGTCCTTATCAAGTCTCTAAGTCCAATACTAGTCCATAACTCCTCTTCAGAGTCAGCAGCCACAAGCAGTGATGCAAAATGCAGGAAGATCACAGCCGGTGGGTGCAAAGTCTTGTGCATCCAATGGTGGTGGATGCATCTCCAGAGCTACTGAAGGCCTCAACGGCAGAGAGAAAGAGAGAGAGAGAGAGAGAGAGAGAGAATCATGGTACCTTCAAATGAGATCATCAAGCTGCCACCTGATTGACAGGCTAACATCCACTCAGAACTTCTTACAGGTGCCATGTTGGCACAAAACAACTATCACAGCAAGAATTTTTTATTAGCTTGTTGAGGAAATGATGTGGAGGCCACATCTGATACCCTCCGGCAAAGGATAAGGAGAACCCAGTTCCACGCCAGCCGAAGGCTGACCACAAGGCGGCACTCAGACATGCCTCCACACTCATCCTTCTTTACCCTATTCTGACTCCAACTTCCTTCTGTGGCATTTGCTTCTCAGCTGGGTTCGATAATTCATTGCAATTGTCACACAGAAAATACTCATGAATATGTGGGTTTATTAAGGAAGCTAACAGGTTACACAAAATGGTAAAGAGTAAGTCCTTTTGTCCACAGTGCCTCTTTTTAAAAATGTATTTTATTGGATTTTTTGTTTTGTTTTGTTTTTAAATCATTTTATTGGGGGCTCATACAACTCTTATCACAATCCATGCATACATCCATTGTGTAAAGCACATTTATACATATGTTGCCATCATCATTTTCAAAGCATTTTCTTTCTACTTGAGCCCTTGGTATCAGCTCCTCATTTCCCCCCTCCTTCCATCTCTCTCCCTCCCTCTCTCTGTCCCTCCCTCCCTCCCTCATGAACCCTTGATAATTTATAAATTTTTCCATGTCTTGCACTGTCCGATGTTGCCCTTTAACCCCTTGTCTGTTGTCCATCCCCCTGGGAGGGGGGTTATAGATAGGTCATTGTGATTGGTTCCCCCTCTCTCCCCCTACCTTCCCCTTATCCTCCTGGTATGGCTACTCTCAATATTGGTCGCAAGGAGTTTATCTGTGCTGTACTAAATTTTGTTCCCATTAAACAATTCATATACATATTGTTCAGTGACATTGGCTACATTTTTCACATTTTAACAACATTCTTTCCCACCCACCCCCAGTGGTTTTCTTGATATACGTGCAGTATTATTAATAAATCATACACCTCCAAGATCAAATGGCTTTTTAAATGAGTTGTATGTATGTCATCACAATCGACTCCAGTGCTCACTCACTACTCCTGTATTCCTTGTTTGCTTCCCAAATCCCCTCACCATCTCTATTCCCACCCCACCCCCAATAAACCATTGCATCAGTTATTATCTCTATGCATCTCCTCCTGTGCTTCGCAAACTGGGAAACCCAGCAGTAACAATAAAAAACAAAAACAAGATAAAACGGCAAGAATAAAATAATAATATAAAAATACACATATAAATAAAGAGCAAGAAAGAAAAGGCCACCATCAATATTTTAAAAGCCAGGGAAGAAATTTTTGTCATGGAACAAGCAAGAAATACTTGCGCCTAGATCAAGTTCAAGTTGGGTCAAGATGGAGGTCAGCTGCCCAAGTATCATAACATGGTTTGATCCACCATAATCAGGTGGACAGTCATCTCTGTCCGATAATAAACCTTTTTGAGTCCCTTGCCTGTGACTGTAAGGGATCTGCCGGAGCCTTAAGCTAACTGGATACTCTGCAGATGGATTTTGGGCTCCCACTGTCCTCCACAGCCTTCTGCTAATTGGGTGTTCACAGCTTAAACTCTGTTACTTTTCCTTTCGTCCTGGTTGGATTTTGTTATTGTCATCTTTGGACCACACAGGCTGGTGTGCTTCTTCGGTGTAGAAGTAGTTGACTCCTCACATTGATGCTTGTTTGAATGCAAGCCTTTGAGACCCCAAGCATTATTCCAATTGATAGCCTAGCATCATCTGCTTTTTTCACCACACTTTGCTATAGTACACTTATCTTCAGTGACCTCTTCGTGAAGGTGAGTATCAAGCAGGGCCATGTTATCAGAACTAACCCATTTGCACAGCGCCAGCGCCTCTTCTCAGTCATGCTGGCAGGCATGTCGCTCTGGTCCTTGGCATCTCAGTCACTTGTCCTCTTTGCCTCTGCCTCCATGAGCCAGGAAGCCTACTTGTTCTGTCTCACAGTCTTGGTACAGCTCCTTTGTTCTGTCTACTGCTCTCATTGCTGCGGCCTCTGCTGCTTCAGACAGAGATCTCATGTTTTTTACTGGTGACTTTTCTTTCTTGATGGTTCTAGGATTCCTCCTCTCTGTTTCTGAGAGGGCTCTCTTACACGCAGAGGAATGACAAAACTGACCAGTCCCTCAATTAGTGTTAAACATAGCCTATTTTCATGTTCCCATTTAATTATTTGGTAGGAGTTATAAAGACATAGATAGAAGAACCATATTTAAGTGATTTCATTTCACCACACTTGTTAATATAATTTTTCCTCATTGAGCACATTTCTGAGCTTAGATAAAGGAACACTGGTGCCGCTGTTGGGTAAGTATTGGGCTGCTAGCTTCTAAGTTGGCAGTTCGAACCCACCAGCTTCTCCATGGAAGAAAGGTGAGGCTATCTGCTCCTGTAAAGATTTATAGCTCCATAAGCCCTATTTAGGGTTGCTGTGCATCAGAATAGACTCAATGGCAGTAAGTTGCACAGATAATTCATTGATTTTTACTTAAAACAATAGCATTTCTTAAAACTGTTGTAATTGGGTATCATATATCACGGCTTGTGCCTGCCATTTTTTGATTGGCTGATTTACACTAGTATACATTATACAAACAGAAAACCAAACCCAGGGCCACTGAGTCGATTCTGACTCATCATGGCTCTCTTAGGGCTTCTGAGACTGCACACTCCTGTGGGAACAGACAGCCTCACCTTTCTCTTGTGGTGCAGCTAGGGAGTCAAAACTGCACCAGAACCAATACCAGTTAGCAGCCCAATGCCTAACACGTAACACCACCAGCATTCCTAATGTATCTGTGATAAGGTTGGCGTATTATTTGTGATCAAAATATTCTGTTGTATTGGTATTGTATCAAGGTCGTTAATAGTGTATATTTGCTTCAAAAAATCTGGATTGGAGAGGAATGGGAGTCTAAATAAAGTAAAATATGTCCCTATATTGGCTATTTAATGCTATTATTAAAGCTGAAGAAGTTTATTTATTACATATATAAAAATATATTATATATATGATTTGTTAGTTTTCTATTCTGGTTTTATATATGTTTGATTTTTGATCAGTGTAAAAACTTCAAACAATGCAGTGAAAGTGATTGTGAATATTATATACGTGTGTGCATATACACATATATATGTATATGTACATTTTTAAGGATATTTAACTGATCGCCCATTTTGTGTCTGTGTGTTTAAGCTCTGGTACAATGATAGTATATCATGGGTTATAAATGTCTGAGTTTTTAGAAAACTGTTTGCATTGTTAGTTCTAAATGTAAAGAAATAAAAGATGAGGAAAACATTTATAAAACAGATTTTCTGTTTTTGAAAACATGGAAACCATATTCTCATTTAAATTCTAGTTCCTTTGAAAGAAGAGGTCAAGATAGCTTATCTATCTATCTCTCCCAGTTTTCTCATCTTTACTTTAAGAAAATAATTGCATGCACCTCATAGAAAATTAATTTGCTTCATTTACATCAAATAAATAGAAAAAGGAGCAAAATAGATCTATATGTATGAGGGGTCTTTAAAAAGTGGAAGGAAAAATCTCAGGATCTTTTCATTCTATTTTCCCACAAACTTTTTGAAGCTCCTGGAATCAGGAGATAAAGAGTACAAAGTAGGGAGCAGACACCTTTACAGGTATTATTCAAGGATCAAGGAAGGTTCAGACAGGAGATAATCCTTGTGTTTAATGCTGACAGATGATTGAGCCCACAAAAGACTAGAAAGGCGTAGGAGAAGCAACATTCTAGATAGAAAGATCAGTGTGAACTAAGGCATGCGGGGTGAAAGGCTTATGTGTTCAGGAGTCCACGTGCCGCCGTGTCTAGTACAGGGAGCACTGAGGTGAGGAGCCTTCTTTTAGAAGTGCTTCCCAGTTGTACCATGAGTAATGGAGAACTGAGTTGCTTTTGAAGGGCTTTAAAACAAGGGAGTCAAAACAAACCACAAAGAAAGAAAGAAACAAGCCCAGGACCACTGCCGTGGAGTCAAATCTGATTCATAGGGACTTTATGTAGGGTTTCTGAGATGGTTAATATTTACAGAAACAAACAGCTTCATTTTCCTCCTGTAGAGTGACTGGTGGATTTGAACCATTAGTATTGCAGTTAAGAACCCAATGTTTACCTGATAGCACCACCAAGACTCCTAAACTGGGTGGGTAACTTAATTTAATTGAAAATTTAAGGGTTTTTTAGTAGTTCACTTAAAACATACTCTTTTTCCTGGCTATGGTGTGTACAGCCACATTTTAAAAACCCGTTGCTGTTTATTTTGATTCAGAGCAATCCTGAAAGACAAAGTAGAACTGCCTGCC